GTTATACAACTCGTACGATATGAACTGATCTTAGTGAATTAATAAAAACAAAAATGAATACAACATATAAAGCTGATAACAATGCATAATAAAATTTGAAGATGAAATGCTTATTTAGAGATGCTAGTTACAACTGCATGACAAAGAGCAACGAATGAATACTTCAATCTCGTGCCAGAAACAGTATGCAAAGCTAATGGATAATAGTCTAACAGTTCATCATACTCTAGTACTACACTTTTTCCACAGTCATCATCTTCAACTGCAAAAGCATGATAATGACATCATAATAATGAGTGTGCAGTTCTTGGCAAACAAAATAAATGCCACCATCAGTTAAAATAAACTCATCAATAAGTACAAATTTGAGACACTCGTCCATCTGTCTACCAACAACTAAAACATCTCCACTGAAATAATCCGTACCATTAATTATTGGTATCTACAAACATAAACTTCATCCAACATGCCAATGCACAATTTGTCACATACAGCAGATGCTGCCTTTAATACTCGCAAAAAAATTAGTTCTCCAGCACCACTATTTACATCCCTGCCACCAAATTTTTTTTCAAAATGCCAAGTCAAACACTGATGAATTTGTTGTTTAAGAGCTACAGTTTTACACACATTTTTGAAACTTGTAGCTGATTTTTTCAACTGATTATGTTTTGCCTCAAACCGCATACACCAATATCGACATGCTGGACCAGACTTTTGAAGACAAGCAGGATAATGAACTAAATTATGAAATTTAGGTGTCAATGGTTTTGTTGGAAATAACTCTCTGTACATTGTGTGGTGATCAAATATAAGTTAATCTAAATATGAAATCATGCCATGCGATATCTTAGGACACAAAATAAAGTCTATAATCTCCATTAAAAGAGTGACCAACCGCCAATAAGTATTTTCACAGTCTATAAGATCTCCAAGTATTAAACCAATAAGTCTACATAAACACAGATATTGAGCAGCACGCTGACCCAGAAGATTATCACCTGACTTCAATTTTTTTAAAGTTATACAAGACGGCTTATCTCTCTTTTCATGTGTGGCATAACGAAATGCTTTCAGTTGAGAATTGAGCTGATTACATGTAAAAATTTTGTTGACTATAATAAGCTGGTATAAAACTGATTTTAACACATTAGGAAAAACGCCTTCAAATATACGTGCATAGCATCCACACAATAGTTGTCAGTAACTTTAAAATAATGCAAATCATTAAAGGGTGATTGTCGCTTTACACCAGTATTTCTTGTGTTGCAGTTTTGCACGTCTTTTTTATGCTGTTTAGCAGTTCTTGATTCAAAATCTCTGGCTCGGTGGTGATCTTGAATGCTTTCAACAGTTGCGTAACACAATCGACATATACAACCAAAAGTAAAACTCTCTTGGAAACCTAACATTCCATGAGCACCTAAATTGTCAGCCGAAAACAAAACAACAGTGCCCTTAACTGTCTGACATGCTTTACCGAGCACAATTTCAATACCCTTTATTTCTAATGTTTTAATATCCTTAATCATTTCTTTAAGAACTGATTCATATCCATGCGTAGTTTTTGTATCTTCTGTATAAAAAAAACATACCAGATGAATATGCATGAGGCGGGAGTTTAAATAGAATGGCAAGTTCCGTATCATCATATAGACTGCACCTAGTTTGTGAATTTTTGTGTTCGAGCCTAACGGATTAACGGTTTCAAAGTCGTCGAAATATAAATGTAACTGTAAGGCATCCAAATTTTCTATAAACAGTTGACATTCTTTGAAACAAGAAGCATCGCTAAAGTCACTTATTAAATTATTTGTGTTCCTTTGTTGTTTATTTAAGATGTTATACATATAGCTATAAACAAATCTAATTGTCTGATGAATTGGTATATACTGGTATGTATTAGGAAAAGGATATTGACATATTTTGCCAGTTTCCTTATCCAAACGGGATTCATAACGAACAGATATTGGACGTCTGATTGATTGGCTCAACAAATTTCATATGATTTTTAAGGTGTTTCAATTGCTGTTCAAAGTTTCCTACTTCTTTCAAAGTTGGCTTAACATTGTCAATTTCTTGAATTACTGATTCAAGTTGAGTTTTGGTTGTGGATATATGAACTGCATCTAATTTATTTGCAACATTCTTTAATTTATCAGAAAACATTTGACACAGCCCCTCTAATAAATCAGTAAATCCCTCCTGTATAATATCTAAGTACCCATACTTAGCATAAACTTTAAACAGTAGCTGTCTTAGCTGTTCCTTAAAGTTGGTAACTTTATCATTTTCAGGCTCTTCTACTTGCTCACTCATTTCAATTTCATCACACAGATTTTCTGGTTCATTATCAACTGTTTTTTGTTCCATGGAGCTTGCATCTGTCGAAGTAGGCTTATGCTTTCTACGTAAATGAGTCAATATTGAGCTTAAGCTATCAAAATATCTCATACAGCCATCTTGTCAACAATGAAGTGCTACTTTATCATATTTAGGTAAGCTATGTCTCAAGTGAAAATGTGTTAAGAAGTTCTTAATTGTAAAAGCATCAATACTTTTTCTACATAAACAGCAGTAATAGCCCATTGTTTCGTGTAGAAGAAACCTAATTGTTTGCACCTTCTATTTGAGATGACCGCTTATAAGAAAAGTTATGAATAACAATACTCAATGATTATTACCTTTGGTTTTCAATTCAGCCAAATTACTGCATACCACAGCTGCTTTTACCGAACCGTCTAGAGTCCAAACTTTTAACAATTTCTTAGACATCTACAAGCAAATAACTATTTACAACTAGAAACACAAGATTATATTAATTAAATCATATTATAAGATGCATCAACAACGAGTTATATTAGAATAATACAGTAAAATCAATTAAAACCATAATTTCATACAAAATATAATAAGTTATTTAAAATATAGGTTAATAATAATAATTATTATTGTTATACACCACTAAAATAAAAGAAACTTAAAAACCATAGCTTAATAACAAGATGTAATGTGTTCAGTAACAACAAAAACATCAAACTGATAAACTTAAAAGCTACTTGCTTGTAATTGAATGAAAAAGTTACAATAATTACGGACAAAATTTAAAATATGTCATTAAAGTACGTCATGCTAGTATTTATGCATTAAATCATAATAAAAATAAATTTACTTTCCTTGATTACAATCATAATTGCAGTGTATAGAGTGATAATAGAGTTAAACTTCTTCTTAACAATATGCAACTATGAAACTAATTTGACAAAAATACAAGTTAAAACATGACTTATCTAATGGTTTTGAAGTAATACGATGCACAGTGAAAGTAAACAAAAATGTTAGAAAGACTTGCTACTTATGACAGTATTCATTAGCAACACAAATTCTGATTTCTGATTAAAAATGTAATTAAATATAAATTGGTATTTGACCATGAGCTATTTTACAGTTTTTACAGTACATATTCTGAATTTCCAATTCAGTATTCCAAATGTTATTAGAATAAACTGAAAAATGCAATCAGTTAGCAAATAATTCTTTAAAAGATAGTATAAGTTGCCAAACATAAACTGATGAATAATTCAATCATTTGGTGCAATCTTTTGACTAGAATTTAATAAACTTTTTAGTAAAATCTTAAGTTCCGTGAAACGTTTTAGGTTAACCAAGATGGCAGCTGTTTTAAAAACTGGCTTCAAAAAAGTCACGTGACACCGTCTCCTGTTTATTAAATCTCCTTGGTCTGAAATATGGAAAAGTATACAAAATATTTACACTAAAAACATCACTAAATTATACTAAAAAATTAGCCAAGTTTATGTGCAATAATCAATAAAACACTCACATTTAAACGTCAAATGTGTGATGAAATATACATGACAATATATAAATACATAACGAGAATGTATCATTAATTCAATGTGTAATGAATGATGAGTGTAGAGATAGCAAGCTCTCAATAACCAATATATATTGATGATTTGTAAAAGTCAGTTGCGTGTACAGTGTGAAAAAGTCAAGTATTACTGAATACCTATGTAAAAAAATTCTCAGTCATACTCCAGGTTACCTATAATACCAATGTAAAAAAATTCTCAGTCATACTCCAGGTTACCTATAATACCAATGTAAAAAAAATCTCAGTCATACTCCAGGTTACCTATAATATCAATGTAAAAAAATTTTCAGTCATACTCCAGGTTACCTATAATACCAATTTAAAAAATATTCACAGTCATACTCCAGGTTACCTATAATACCAATGCAAAAAAATTCTCAGTCATACTCCAGGTTACCTATAATACCAATGTAAAAAAATTCTCAGTTATACTTCAGGTTACCTATAATACCAATGTAAAAAAATTCTTAGTCATACTCCAGGTTACCTATAATAGATAAAAAGTCATGATTTATTTCTGACTTCTACTTAAAAACTGGCCCAGACATGCTTCAGAAACAGATATTTTTTTCTTGTGTGCAACAGTAATTATCCGTGTACTATACTGATTGTGTGTATACAAACAAACAAAAAAAGTTGATATGATCAAAAATGTATGCAAAATATGTTACAAAATACAAAATAGTTAATATGATCAAAGATGCAAAATACACTATGATCAAAAATGTATACAAAACACACTAGCTTAAAAAACCCAATTCACAGTGTATTGCAATAATCAAATAAACAATAAATGTATAAAAGTGTCATTGAATTAACAACAAATTGAAAACTAGTAAACTTTAACATGTCATTAACAGAGTATGATTTGTATTAAAAATCTTATCTTTTCTATAAAAAAATTTCAAATTTAAAATAAAAGTTGCAAATACTGTCTAATCTAATATATAGTTGTTACAATTTGTAAAAAAATATGTTGCTATATTTAATTTTTTTAATTTGATTTTTTATTTGTTTATATTTGATGTTTTTTTTAATTTTGTAATTTTCATAATTATTTGTAATAACTGTTTTATTTAATCATTTAAGTGTGCCATTTTAGAAACCCAAGCTGAAAATGGAGAAACTAAAAAAGTTGAAAGCAATGATAACATTGATAAACCCACTAAAGAGATTGATGCAGATGATTTAGTAGAAGATGAAATTTCAAAAAATCCTGTTAATATTGAAAAAGTTGTTGATCCGCCACCTGTTCAAGGTTCTTTACACAATTCAGTACTTATAGCATTCTTAGCATGCAGCTTAATAATTATTGCTCTATTGATATAACATAGCTCTGTTCGTATAGCCTTATAACACTATTTGTATAGCCTTATAACACTGTTCATATAGCCTTTTAACACTGTTCGTTCAGCCTATAACACTGTTCGTGTAGCTTTATAAAAATGTTTGATAACCGTACAATACTGTTCGTATAACCTTATAATACTTTAAAATAAATAACAGAAAATTTTTAACTTTCTTTGTTATAAGCCTTTTTATACTTTAGAATGTTATTTTTTCTAGAATTTAAGTTGGATGAAGCTTATATTGCCAGATACCTTGGCAACTTATCAATGAAAGAAGAGAATCATTTAATGCAATTGCGGCGACGCTTTCAAGTTGCACACGTAGGAAAGGTAGTTATGTTGTGATTAAGATGTATATAAGAGTTTGTTGTGTTAGGACCTATGCTTAAAAATTTTAAACATTGGTCCTAACTTAATTGTATTGTTTGAAATTGCATTCCTTGTGTATTAGTTTTATCTTTTGTATGTCTGTATAAATTAATGTTTAAAATTGCAAAAATTTTAAATTTTTTTTTATAGATGCCAAGTGAGGCTGTCATGTTACGTTTTTTACGTGCAAGAGATGTTAATCTAGACAAAGTAATTTTTAAAAAAATTAGAATTGTTTGTTGCCTTTTTAACACGCTATGATATATTTTATAAGCTATGATATTACTTGAGTCATTAATGATGATTTTAAAAAAGTTTTATAAACAGAAATGAACTTTAATTGTTATTTTTTATTAAAAATTATGTTTTTTCATTTAGGCATTTGAAATGTTAAAAAATTCTCTTCATTGGAGGCGAACCCATCATGTAGATACCATTCTAGATACATGGAAACCACCTGATCAGTTACTGGAATACTATCCTGGTGGATGGCATTACAATGATAAAGGTTAGCTTTTTTGAGTTAATGCATTGTTTGAAATTGATTTTAACAAATTAAATTTTTTTTTCTTTTTCAGAAGGACGTCCTGTTTATATTGTTCGTTTGGGAACTATGGACTTTAAAGGATTGTTGAAAACTGTTGGTGAAGATGGGTTTGTCAAACATGTACATGTTATTAATTGTTTTTTATTTTCAGTGTATTTGTGACGCATGTACTTGCTACATTGCATATACATCAAATCTTTTAATTATTTAATTTTTTTATATACTTCTTTTTTTATATACTTCTTTTTTTTTATATACTTCTTTTAACTACTTCTTTTAAAGCTTATTCAATAAAGTTTTTATTTGTAATCATATGTGTCATCTAATTTCCTTTAATATACTTACTTTCTTTTTTTTTTCATTGTGTCTTGTTTAATTGTATCATATTAAGCATATAATCTCAAATATTGGTGAACTATATACAACTATGACTATATAAATAATGTCAAAACTACATCATCAACTTATGACTGATTTGAGTTAGCTATATGATAATCTTTACCCAACAATGCTTTTTCTACTGTTATAAAATCAGTACTGTACAAATATATCTACTGACAGTACTAATATTTATAGTGACACAGAAAATTGAAATCTTTTAATATACATGTAGTTTATCATCAATTCATATAACCTGTTTTTAATTTTGTTTTATTCAAAATTGCTACTGAAATCTAGGTTGTATCCATAAATGAAGAAGGATTAAAAAAGTGTCGTGAAGCAACAGAAATTTATGCCAAACCAATTACGTATGTGTTTTTATTTTTTTTTTATGGTTCTTTTAATTGTATAATAGCATTTTAACAGCCAAGGCGCAGTGGTTAGAGTACTGAACTTGAGATTGAGGGGTCTGGGATTGAGATTGAAAGGTCTTAAGTTGAAATGTTACTCTATCCATAAAAGGGGTCAGTGATGAAAACAAGCATATAGATGATACAATACTTTTAGTAATTGGACTTTAATCATTGACTTGGAGGGATTAAGTATGAGACATCTATGGAGACCAGGTATTTAAAATATTTTTAATTTTTTTTTGATAATTGAGGTTATAATTGTGTATATATATATATATATATATATATATATATATATATATATATATATATATATATATATATATATATATATATATATATATATATATATATATATATATATATAAACAATTCGGATAACAGAGATTATGATAATATATACTTATTAATATAGTTGCAAATGAATTCTACTTAAACATTTATACTTAGATCTTTTTTTAACTTAACAATTATAAAGTTATATGAAATAATTATGATGATATTTATTATTTATTAGGAGTGAGAGCTGTACTCAGAATTATTGAAGTCGTTCAGGCCAATTATCCTGAAACAATGAGCAGGCTCTTGATTATTCGAGCTCCAAAAGTTTTTGTTGTTCTGTGGACTTTACTGTATCCATTTATTGACGAGAATTCAAGGAAGAAATTTCTTATTTATACTGGAGATGATTATCAGGTATTAACTTTTTTAAACTTTATTTAAATCAAAATAATTTGGAAAATTTTGGTTTTATTTACCAAATCAAAATTTAAATTTTGTAATTCAGGGCCCTGGTGGTTTAGAAGATTATTTGATGAAAGAATACATACCTAATTTTCTTGGAGGACCGTGTGAGGTATTTTATTTTATTCCTGTTATTATTATTATTATTATTATTATTATTATTATTATTATTATTATATTGTTACATAACGTAATGTCGATTTTTTTAACTCTTGAAATTCAATGCTTTTAAGTAAAAAATATGCAATAGTCCGACCGCGTACGTACTCGTGTCTTTAATCTCTTTTCCCATGCATACTTTTATACTTTTTCCCTCCCCCTCCACCATACCTGCGTAGGTACTTTATGGAAGACCCCTTATATAAATTCTTAAATAAATTATGACTGAAATCTTGTTGCATGAATTCGCGTTATTTAAAAAATCAGGCGTATAATTATTAACAAAGCTTTTATTGTTCTCAATGTTATTATTGCAACAATTTGATAAAAAAACTAATTATTTTACTAATTAAAGTTTAATATTTATTTTTCAAAAACTTCAATTGTAACCTTTACTAGGGTTGAACTGGCACTGAGGGGCTTGGGAGACATAAATGGGGCCCTTATGGTAGCAAAAATAAGTTAAACCCTTAATCACATAGTTTTTTGTTAAAAGGATATTTTTTGTTAAAAAGATAATTTCTAATAGTGTGCATGCAAATTTCCATATCTTTGACCATTAATTTATTCGATACGTTTAAAAAAATAAATCCATATACGAGGTTTTAAAAATATAGTGGTTCTAAAATGCCGCTTTGCACCACTTTATTTTCTGCACCATATTGCCATGCTAAAATGGATTTATGTTTATGGTAACCAAATGCAATTTTTATTTTATTGTTTAAAGAACATAGTCATTAACACAAAATTGAAAATCAAAAAATTTAATCTTAGTTTTAATATGTTATATATTTTATTTTATTATAACATAAATTTTTTTTTTAAATATATATAAAAAAATTTTTAAAATTTTTTTTTATTGGAAAATGAAAAAATTTTTAGATTCACCCATTTTACCGTATTTAAAGCTGAACTTTAAGTGTATTTCACTTTATATTTTTTATAAATACAAAAAATTGAAATATAAATATATAGATCGTTAAAATATAAATATATAGGTCGTTTACTAAGAAATAATAATATTCAAAATTATAAAATCTCCAGCCCCATTAAATATTTCTGAATTTGAAAATATTTGAAAAGCACTGACTTCTTATAAGCCAGTGCTTCCAACCAGAGAGTATAGATGCAGAGAGGATCGAACCAGAAGCGATAAGTGCTTATTATTATAATTATTATTACGTTCTCAATGGCTTAATAAAATATCATAAGGAGGAGGCCCTAAAATAATTTTGCACCAACACATTTTTATCATCTCCAGGGCCCTGAACTTATATAAAATATATAAGCATTACTCGATAAAAACACGAAATTTAATGTTTTTTTGTACTAAATTAATTTTTTAGTCTTAAGATAATTTACTCTACCACTAATAAATAACAGGCGCGGATGCCGCATTTTTTAATGTTTGAGATACCTAACCTCCAGACATGGAGCAAACTCCAAAAATTTATATGTTTATACTTACAGTATTGGACAAAACATTTGCAACCAACATTGAACAATGCTAAGTGTTCCTAATTTTGCATGTCTTAAAAACGAAACAAACTATACTACCACAGCAAACAGTTCAGGAGTCTGGAGTCATAGCATGCCATGACAGGAGCAATCAGCTGACAGGTGACAGCACACAGGCAGAATTTCGTTGATAAGTGCCATTTTGCAGCGGAAAAAACAAGTGCAACTTTTTTGGTTTGTTTCATTTTCTTAAGTCTGGTCTGTGTCAACGTCACGGAAGTTATTTAATAATTAAAGGAAGTATCCAGAAGCATGCAGAAGCTTTCAGAAGTTTCCAGAAGAAGCATCTGGAAGCATCCAGAAGTATCCAGAAACATTCAGAAGCATCTAGACGCATTCAGAAGCATCAAAAAGAAGTATCTAGAATCTTCTAGAACAGGTTCACACAGGTTCATTTTACTATATAAGAGACATGTAAACCGACATGTAATTCAGTCAGTATATGGAAGTCAATCAGTCAGTATTATCAAGACAGTTTATCGAAGTGAGTTATATCAAAGTGTTTTATCGAAGAGCATCAATACAAGAAGTGAAATACGTTGTGTTCCACAGATCATTACATGGTAAATGTAAATGTAAATGTATTATTTTTATTATTTTTATGACTTCAAGTGCAAAAATGGCTCCCGACAGTCTTGGATTGTAACTAAGAAAGAAAATTATTGGCGATTACGTAAGTGGAATGTCACAAAAAAGTATTTGTGATAAATATCGCGTGAAAAAATGGACCGTATCAAGACTATATTCCAAATATTGTTCTACGGGGAAGTTAGCAGCAGATAACAAAGGTGGAAGACTGCGTTCCACCACTTCTAGAGAGGATTCTATGATCATCAGATCCGTCAAGAAGGATCCCTGGATATCATCACTCGAGATACAAAAGCAATTAGAGCTGCCTGTATCGGATCAAACAATCAGACGACGTGCTGTTGAAGCCGGATTGCTTTCTCGACGCTCTGCAAAGAAACCGCTGATTTCACTAAAGAACCAAAAGAAAAGACTCCTGTTTGCTACATCTCATATTGACTGGAATGTGCAGAAATGACGAACTGTCCTGTTTAGTGATGAATCGAAGTTCAACATCATTGGGAGCGATGACATTTGCCGTGTATGTCGACCGGCCGGAAAACGCCTCGATTCACGTTACTGCCATAAGACCGTGAAGCATGGTGGAGGCAATGTAACCCCTATCAAAAACTATCAACCCTATCAAGAACCTGTGGGAGATCGTCAACCACAGAATTATTTGTGAAGGTCTTCGTAATGAGGATCAGCTGTTTGAACAAATCCAAAAGGCCTGGGCAGCGACTCCACAAGGTTTCATTGATCACCTGATGGAATCTATGTCTCGAAGATGCCAGGCTGTGATCGACAACAAAAAATTCGCCACGAAATATTGATAGCGAAATGCAGCTTGGTCAACATTTTGTAGAGTTGCACTTGTTTTGTCCAGAAGGAAATCAACTTTTTTTAATACTTTTGATTAATTTATTAACTTTCGTGTACAAATAATGAACTTTGTGATGAATAAAACTTGAAGAACGTTGTCTGTTAACAGTTACATAGTTATTTCTCTAAATTGAAAAAATGCAGCACTTTTATATAAAGAAACTAAATTAGCATTATTTGGTTGCACTTGTTTTGTCCGATACTGTATATCAAATAAGAATGCTTTGCAAAAAATTGCGATGATTGGAGCCTGGGAACAAAAAAGCCCTAAAATTTTAGCTACACCTGCCCAAACCGTGAGAGCAACAAGTTGATAAAATATTTTTTCTACTATTCTCAACCAAGTATATATTCATCGATAAATTTTAAAACTCACACAATAATCTCTTAGCGTTCAACAATTATGGCCTTATAAAATTTGCAGCCCACTCAAACTGAGGGGGTTCAAACTTTTTATGGTCATAGTTTTTGAATGCTAAAAGATTATTGTGTGAATTTTAAAATTTATCGATGAATATAGATTTAGTTAAGAATAGTATAAAAATTATTTTATCAACTTGTTGCTTTCATGTTTGGGGCAGGTGTAGCTAAAATTTTAGGGCTTTTTTGTTCCCAGGCTCCAATCGGTGCAATTTTTTGCAAAGCATCCTTATTTGATATAAGTATAAACATATAACTTTTTGAAATTTGCTTCATGTCTGGAAGTTAGGTATCTCAAACATCAAAAAATGCTGCATCCGCGCCTGAATAATAATATAAGGCTGCTCAACAATGTCTTTGTATATTTTATTAAATATATCATATTTTAATCATAGTAATAACCATATTTATTGGTTATTACTATGATTAAAATTGGTCTAGCAAAATTGATGCATATTAGCAATAATTAGTTATTATTAATTTGTATTTTGTTATAATAAAATATTTGCATATTGTTTTATTTGCGTATGTTTATTTATAGAGAGACCCAGGACCTTCAGACATAGCAGGGGCCAGTTGGGATACCCCAACCGCCCTCGCCAGTCCGACTCTGTCCTTTACAACAATTAGGTTTTTTGATAATTGTGTTTTTTTAGTGCCATTTACCTGTTGGAAAAGTTGTCCCAAAAAGTTTTTACAAATTTGAACCCACTGGGGAATCGAATTGGATGGAAACAGATTTGTATCATACTGGTCAGGTTGTCAAAGGTACACCACATGAGGTTAGAGGTTTGAATGCATCTTATAACATTACTTTTCGATAAATTGAAGAATTGAAGTCATTTATTTTTCTAATAATTTGATATTATAGGTTATTATAACTGTGACTGAAGCAGAGTGCGTCATTACATGGGATTTTGATGTCATTGAAGGAGACTGTGTATTTCAGTTGTTACGTCATAAGCGTCCTCGTGAAGCAACTAATTTGACTTCGTGTCTCGGTGACACAAGTATTACAAAACAAAGTATTCGACCGGGGATAGATGCGCAAGTTGTTGAGAGACCAATAACATGTGCTCAAGGAGATTCTCTGCAGGTAAATTTTTTTAAACAGATTTTTGTAACTCTTTTAGCTAATTATCTTTAGCTAACTATTTTATTTTCTAAATTAAACCTATATATAAAAGTTAACATAAATCCGAGTGCCTTCCTTAGAGATAGTTGATTAAAGTGTTGGATTTCATATCCAAGAATCTAAAGAGACTTGAGTTTAAATCATGTTCTAGCCATAAAAGTTATGGAAAAACAAGATGTCTGTGGTGCTTCAAACAAGCTGACTTCAAACTAGATGTCTGTGGTGCTTCAAACAAGCTGACTATGGTCATTCAAATAAGCTGACTATGGTTCTACTGTCTGGATTTGATTTTGAAATATTTTCTACATAAAATAAACGACTTGCACCTCTGCATTGGAGATATATATAGAAAATTTATTTAACATAAAATATTACAATTATTTTTTTAGGTGATACACATTTGCCATTAGGCTGGTGTTTACATTCTTTTATTATTTTAGGGAACTCACATTTGCCAGCAGGCTGGCGTTTACATTCTTCAATGGAAATATTCAAATGCAATTACTAATGTACGTCAAACAGTAAAAGCTCAGAATAAATCAAAAATAATGTACTATTATGAGGTTTTACCATCGAAAGATTACAAGTAAGTTGAATGTTGAAAATTAATTTTTATATAAATATGCAAAGTAATAATAATAATAATAATAATAATAATAATACGATAACATTTTTTTTTAATCGATTTTTTTGAGATGAATACAATTTTATATAACATTTTAATAAAATGTCGAAAATTTTAGTGCTAAAAGTTTTAGAGAAATTAAAATCAAAAAATCAAGGAAAGACAGCTCACAGTAAAAAAAGGTCAGGGTAACAACATCCGGTTTTGCTATGTCTAATAACATGTCCAACAACATCCAAAATTTCATCGATGTATAATAACATCCGTGCAACAACATCCCAAATTAAATTGATGTATAATAACATCTGTTCAACAACATCCGAAATTTCATTGATGTATAATAACATCCGTGCAACTACACCTGTAGATTTTTCGGATGTAACTACTTCCGAAAAAATATATTTTTTAATAATGCATTATTTTAACCAGATGTAGTTACACATCGGATGTAACTACATCCGCCAAAAAAAATTATTATAATGGATTATTTTAAGCATAAATTTTTTTTTTTTAAATTATTTGAAAGACTGCCAGCCCAAACCAAACACTCAATCGATATAGCAGCACTCTGTTGCGAGTCATGCTATTTGTCAGTAGATATAGCAGCACTTATATAAAATAATAATAATATATGTAACTACATCCGGAATTTTTTTTTTTTTTTAATAATTTTTAATAAAAAAATCATTTTAACCAGATTTAGTTACACATCTGATTATTTTTCGGATGTAACTACGTCCGGAAATTTATTTTATTTAATAATGCATTATTTTAGGCCGATGTAGATACACATCAAGAAAAACTCCCGGATGTAGTTACATCTTTCTAAAGATGTTATTAGACATCAATGAAATTTTGGATGTTGTTGGACAGATGTTAATTCAGTAAAGAAAAAAGCTGATGATTTTGGACAAAAATTTGCGAATGTTATTTCACTACTTCACGGATGTTGTTGGACAGATGTAGTAATCTTTTCCCTAAAAAAACACAGCTCACAGTAAAGATTTTCAACTTTTGTTTTCGTGAGAATTTTTCAGATACACTTTTCATATTATCAACATTAATAAGCTGTCAACATAAGGGTATCAACATTGATAGGGTGTCAACATTAATAAGGCGTCAACATAAAGTCCTATAAAAATGAGATTTTCTTTTTTTGTGTGTGTTACAATGTAATTAGTACACCCTAAAAACAAAAAAATTATTTTTATCTATTTAAGGTATAAACTCCTTTAATTATATCTTGTTTTTATATATTTCATAGTTAATCAATAAATACTTTTGTGCGTTTAGAGGATCGATGTCGAGTTTAAGTTCCAATCAAAGTCGTTTCTCACAGCTATCTATTTTGACTGGGACAATATCGAACGGCATGACCAATAGCTCTAGTGCCAGTAACTCTTCATGTTAGCGTTTGGTGTTGTAAGCACACAATTTCGGAAGAAACGTCTCAAAAGATTATCCTAATCTTTGATTAAAACAAATCAAAATATCAATTTTGTGTTGATATTTGGTGAAATGATCTATTTATTAGAGTTTCCCTTTTAGGATAACTCGCAACTTTTTATATTCAAATTAACGACAAAATTTCTTAAACTTACAAAATAGCCTCGGAATTGTTTTGTAATGAACAGAATGGCAATTTAAACTGTATTTATGTTTTTAAATGACAACCTTTTTAAAAAATAATTTTTAAAGATTTTGCCCCATATTTTAAATTCTAACGATAACAACTTTTTAAAAAATATATAAAAGCTTAGATTTTTTTTTCTAGCTTTTTTATGTATTTATAAGCTATATATTTATAAATAAAAAATGACTTTTTCGGGTAAATCTATGCCGCCAGAAAATGATTACGGCCGATTTGTGAAAATACAACCGAAAAGACAAATTTGAATCTTTACTGATTTTATATTTTTTTGTTCCTACGGCAAAATTAACCCGAAAAAGCCCTTACTAAATAAGTATGGTACGATAACTTATTCAATTCGTAAAACTGATTAAGAAATACTATACAATATTGTCTATTTTTTTCAATACAATTTTTACATTGCACTTTAAACTTTTACTTACGTTAGTCAATAAAATGTTGACCGCGTTCTATGCTCAGGAAATTCGTTCACCTTTTCAGGGTTTTGAGTGGCGAAATCCCATAAGTAAAAATCTACCATCACTGCATTAATGTCCAATATTTTTGCAGTGAAACTTTTTTCGTGCTGGATTATATTCGAAATACTTCGACGTAAAAGCTCAACAACGTGAATCGAACATCCTCTAATTTCCATCTCTTCTCGTGAGTGCATATTCAACGTGTCTCCGTTTTGCAGCAGACGCATTAGGTTTTCGGAATATGAAATTACGCCGTAAGCGAGAAGTGCCTGAGGCACACGATAATCTGCAAACATTGTTATTTTTTCGATGTTTTTAAATTTGCCAAATGTTTCGCCTTCAAAACATGCCCATATATCAGCAATAAGAATCTGAACGCGCTTGTAAAAGGAAACTTTTCGATCTTCAAAAATTCCAATATCGCGGTAAGAAGGAAAATTCTTCGTAACCATTTCAATGACTTTTGTAACGTCTTGATCACACTTTAACAAAAAATTGCTAAATGAATTGTTGTAAGTACTACTTAAGATCTCCCCTGCTTCGCGTAGATTATTAGTCCGTTCCTCCAATAAAGGTAATTCCGTACCATTGCACGAACGAAATACGTGCTTGATGGTCTCTAGAGATATATTTTTGTAAAAACTTGGTGTAGTAATATGTATACCTTCCTAAAGATATTAAAGAAAGAATTTTTGTCAACTTAACGTTTATTTTTAACTAATGCTTATTTTTATTAATTTAACTTTTATTTTATATCTAGAAATATTCATATCTACAAATCATCTGAAATATTTAGCTTATAAAAATATTCAAGAAAAAAAATTTTTTTTAAAAAAAGCGGTGCGTTTTCGACAGTTTCTTTTAGTATAAGGTAATATTATAATAAAATAAAATTGTAAAATTTGATAATTTTTTGTTATTTAATTTTTTTTTAATTTCATAAAAATTTTAGTATTTTTAGTTAGTATCAAAAATTAATAATTTTAGTTGATATCAAAAAGCGTTTTCTGATTATAATTATGACTTGCTTTGGCTTTCTGAGAATCAAAATAGGATTAAAAAAAAAAAAACTTTTATAACTTATCACCTGACTGAGAAACATAACTTAGAACTTTATAGTTTTTAAATAAGGTGGCCCTAGGTACAAGAACTACTTCTAATGATATAAATTATATATAATAACAGTATATGGTATATAACTATAATATCTTAGGGAAGAAAGCAATTCATTTTTTTTATAACACAGGTTTCATCAATAAAATATGCTAAAGTTAACACATTTTATTTGGTTGAGCCGCTGCAAACCTGTTCTCTAAATTGCTTAATTCAAGATTTATAAATTTTTGGAAAATTCTCAAAATTAAAAAAAAAAACTTTCAGTGTAAACCTGACTTAAAAATTAGATAGTATAAACTCACTGATGAAAATAAAAATATCAGTGTGAGCTTCTAAAATCCTCAACTTATAAAAAAATCTTGATTTGGTTGAAAATGAGATTTTGGTTTTACTACCAAATACATAGTAATCCTGACCTTTATAATAATCCTGACCTTTATAATACCAAATACATAGTAACTCTCACCTTTATAATACCATATGATATTTAGGATTTGATATTAAGGATATGAGAATTATTATGTAATAATCCTTTTAGAGCTTGAAGATACCTTTATTATAACAAATACATAATAATTATCATTACATTAGGGCTTATATAAGCATATTAAATTCTATTGAAATTATGATAAAGCAACTTTTACATAATGCGCACATTTGCCCACAAGCCATAATAGAATTAAATTATTTTATGCTTGTTCTGTAAAAAAGCTTAATTTTGAATCAAGAAGTTATGACTATAGGCCAACCATAAATTGAAACAATATATATAAAATACTTATATACGTAACATGGTTTTAAACCAAAAATTTTCATTTACTGAAAAAGATGTCATGATTTAGGTAAATTTTGTAAAAGTTACAAAAAGAAGTACAAATTATCGGTTGGTGAAAGAAGTATAAGTTATTGGTTGGTGAAAACTCCTAATAGTAAACTTTAGTGAAAAACGAAAAAATATTATTGTCACTTGGAGGGCTGTGAAAGAGTTATACTCAGATCTTAAAGATATTGAGCATAATCCTTAACTTAATCCATAATCCTTCCTTAACAAAAGCCTTAAAATTTGAAAGTAGATGCCTAAACCAAATTAAGGCAGACGAAGATGCTAAAAACTGCCTCTCCAAGCAAATCAAAGTATTGTCATGCAAGAGAAAGTCAAAAAAATACCCTAAAACAAGTTTTTTTTGAGTTGTTTGTAGATGTCAATGGAACCCACTTACCCAGGAAAATGTTTAAAACACAAGGCAGTTTTTGTTATGAACAGTGGCTTGCCCATTAACCAGAGTTGCCAGAGGATGAGAAAATTATTTTTTCCAACCATTGGATAAAAAAACTGGCTGAGTTAACATTGTGTCAGCCTGTGCCATCCAGTAAATACAGAGAGTTGGAGCAAAAGCTTAAAGATTTGATTAAATTTAAGTTTACTTTAGTAAATTCCACAGCTATCCAAGGATCACATGATGCATATGCTGCTAGAAAATTGGGATTTCCTGGAGATTGATAAGTTGATTCAAGGCCCTGTGGCAAGGGTTATCTTGTTTTAGAGTATTTGCTTTAGTGGAAGAAAAGCTATAAGAATTATAAAAAAAACCTGATGCAAACCCAAAAAATAAAAAAATCTCTAGGGGCTAATTCCACCTCCAAAAAATTGAAATGAAAGCAAGAATGAAAAACTAGTGAAACAATGCCTTTAGATAAGGAAAATAAATTGTCTGATTGTGAGGGTGACAAATTAGTTTTCAATCATCATAATGAAGAGCATCTTCATTATGATGATTGATAAGACAAGAAAGATGCAATATTTTTCTGAATTTTTTAAATGCAATATTTCTCTTGTCTTATCAAAAAAAACATTATTTAATTTTTACCTCAATTGCTCTGTTTATGCCTGCACATAATGCTTCATAATCTTCATAAATAATGTTATGATACTCTAACTGGAATTTCTTTTCTCCAGGCAACCAGAATGAAAAATTCAAAGTGTCCACAACAAAAATCCAATCAACAGTTTCTGGGCTCAAGACTTTAGGATGCAAAGGCCATTCTTTCCACTTGGCTTTTGAATAATGTTTTTTTTTCATAGAGTCATAAATTTGTTGTGCTGCAGGTTCAATATTTTCCATTAAAATACTTACATCTTTACTATTTGCAGCAATAAATGCACCTGATTCTCGAGGGTTCATTACTAAAATATTATATTAAGATAATTATAATGCAGATCTATTCAGATAAAAAAAAACATTGCACATTAGAAGCTGGATTGGAGACATTTTCACAATCAAAAAGAGACCCCAACAACTCCACACCCCCATATATCTTTCTATGATATAAGATATACAGATGATACAGGGGGTATAAGACATAAAGATGATATAAGACATACAGATGATATAAGATATACAGGTGATATAAGATATAAAGGTGATATAAGACATACGGATGATATAAGACATACAGGTGGTATAAAAAAAAAAAATGTAATTATTTCAGCACTCTACTTTACTCAGCAAAACGAAGTGAAATTATTAAAATTTGATTGTCTATAGCATAAATATAAACTTAATTAGTAAAAACTTAAAACTTTTTTATAGCATAAACCTTTTATATAAACTTTTTAGTAGTTAATAGTTCATAGTTAACTTATAATTCCAGTAACCATATATTTTTGTTATAATGATAATTGCTATTTCCAATAATAATTTTTAGTCAATGAATTTGATTAAAACTTATTTAATCGCTTATTAGTAAACCATAAAAACATTATTTAAGTTTGTGTTTACTTGCTTTTAATACTTTAGTGAGATTAGCACAACAAGCGGCAAATAGAAATGGAACATGGCACCACTTCCAAACACCATTCGTATTCTTATTCCCTAATCACCACAGATGAACTGTATGGTTTAGTAAATACAGCTGCAAAATAATTTTCTAATATATTAGAGATTTTTTTTAAATCATCCTAAATCATTATTAAATTGTATTGCCATTTAGTTGTCTTTAACTTTAATCTATTTTCATAATTGATTTTAGTATACACTTTATTTGTATATCTCTTTCATGGCAAGATCAAGTTTAAAGCTTTAATTTATTCAATTCACTTTTATCTAACTAATTAGAAGTTTTCTAATCAAGCAAGAATGAGTTTTTGTTGATGGAACTAGAGAATGTAGTATAAAAAATATTTGTTGAAAAGAATAAGAGATTTGTAGAGGTTGAGAATGGAATTAGGAGTAAGATAATGGCCAGCTCAATAAAGAGAAGCAACCTTAGCAGATGATAATTTAGCAATTGATTGTACATATTTTTTTAAGAAAGGTCAGTAGTAAACGATAATCCAAGATGAGGTGGTTGTGACTCACTTATCTTAGATTATCGCTATTCATTAATAATATCAACAGTATTGTAATAGTTGTTTGCAGTAAATGTTGAAGATGAAATTTACAAGCCACTGTAAGCCCCAATCTGTTACAGAAGTGAGATCAGATTCAAGATTAAATTCTTCTCTTTTTGATTGCCTGTTGTGCGCAATCAAAAAGAGAAGAATTTTTGTGAGGACAGGAATATAAAGTTGAGTCATCAGGAAAAAGAGCTACTTCAGATGTAAGGTTGTCAAGAAGATCATTAATGTAGATAAGAAACAAAACAGGACCAAGGAAAGAACTTTGAGGTAACCCAGAAGTTACTGGAAATATCTAACAATGGGTAAACCTGTTTAGTTGGAATGGAAGGAAGAGAATGGATGTAAAATATAAGTTAAGGGGTAAACAGATTCTATCTGTTGACCAGCCTTGCACCCCTTCTTCATCTATGAGGCTGGCGCAGATGTATTCTTAATACATTGTTTCCAATATAGGATGTTGAATGCTAAATCTTCTTGACTCGATGCATGAGCTTTGCTTGTGTCTCTGTTTTTATGACTAGGCAACTCATTCTATTATCTCCTAACTAGGGTACAGCTCTAAAACTCAATTTTATGTTCTGAGTCCGGCTGGTAGTCAGGTTTCCCGAACTTTGTGGTAGCTCTAAGAGAGGCTTATTCCATCAACAGCTGAATAATTTCAAAGTACTAATAGTGCCATAATGCGCATGGATGGTGTCCCTGTTTGTACTTTTGGTGTGCATTGCCAAGGCCACATTGGAGCCCATTGTTATCGCTTAGGGTTTATTAATAGTAATGAGGCTATTGCTTGGGCTATTAAACAGTGTACAGAGTATTATCTATGCTTCGAGTCAAGTTCTTTAACAAATTAAAAAATGAATAAAGTAACAAAAACTATAAAACACAAAAAACTACAGTCATCATCAAGTTGGCTAAACCTATCATTCACTAATATTTGTGGCCTTCGAAGTAACTTTACTTCTGTTGAGTCTTATCTCTTGCAAAGTTCACCAGACCTACTTGCTCTTTGTGAGACTAATTTGAGTTCAGCATTCATCTTGTGATCTTAGTGTTGATGGTTATCTTCCTTTAACTCGTAAAGACCCCAAAAGTCACATGCTTGGCCTGGGCATTTATGTTCGTAAGAATTCACCCAATTGTCAGGAAACTAGATTTGAATCCACAGACTCTTCTATGTGCTTTCGTTTAGCACCACTTCACTCTATCAACATTGTCTTGGTTCTATATCGCTCTCCTTTATCTCAAAACTGCACTCTTCTTGATGTTATTTCTGATCATATTGACCAAGCCCTCTCTCTTTATCCATGAGCCAATATTGTTGTTGTCTGTGACTTTAATGTTCATCACAATGAATGGATTGGCTCTTTCCGTGATTTTATTCGTGATGGCCCTTGGGTAGAAATCTTTCATCTTCCTGTTGACAAATGGCTTCTTACATAACTTCGTAGATTCAGACTGATATGGAATCCTTTATTCCCTCTTGACAATTCCAGTTCAAGACTCACTATTCTCCATGGTTTTACTCACATTGTGCTGCTGCAATTGCCAATGGAAACCATTACTTCCATATCTATCAGCAAAACAATTCTCCAGAAAACAGGTGTCTGTTTAATACTGCTAGGAACCATTGTAAAAAGGTTTTGTCTAACCCCAAAGCCTGCTATTCTCAGGTCATGAAATCTCATATTTCATCACAAAAATTAGGCTCTTGTGACTTCTGGAGAATCTTTAATAGTATCAATAATAAGGGTAAGTCTGTAATTCCACCTCTCTTGTATGGTTCAGACTTTGTCACCTCACCTAAAGACAATGCTGAATTGTTTGCTATGAACTTTTTATCAATATCATCTCTTGATTCCATTAGTTGCGTTCTACCTGATATAGCCATCATATAGATTGATCCATTGCTTGACATTTGTATAACTCCAGCTTCTGTATCTAAAGTGATTTCCTGCTTAGATTCTTCTATAGCGTGTGGCCCAGACAACATACCTGTTATAGTCTTGCAAAAGTGTTCTCCGGAGCTGTCATCTATCCTTTCAAAACAATTCAACAAGTGCTTATCAGAGTCTTGTTTTCCAGCCTGCTGGAAAGCAGCATCTGTTATCCCTATTTTTAAAAATTCTGGAGAGCAATCTGATTCGTCTAACTACCGTACCATTAGTCTTCTTCTTATCATAAGCAAGGTTTTTGAATCTCTAACTAATAAACACTTAATCTCTCATCTTGAATCTAATAACTTACTTTTTGATCATCAATATGGATTTCGATCTTCTTGTTCTACGGTTGATTTGCTAAAAGTAATAACCAATAGTTTTTAGCGTACATTAGATAAAGGTGGAGAGGTTAAGGCTATCACTCTTGACATTTCTAAAGCGTTTGATAAAGTTTGCCATGCTGGTCTTCTCCATAAACTTTCTTCTTACAGTGTATCTGGAAACATCTTTAAGATTATCGAATCCTTCCTTTCCAATGGTAGTATAAAAGTTGTCCTTGATGGGCAGCACTCTTCTTCTTATTCTTTAACCTCAAGGGTTCCTCAAGGATTGATCCTTGGCCCTATACTCTTTTTAATTTACATTAAAGATTTTCCAGATATTTTCACATCTAAGGTGGCATTGTTCGCTGATGATACTACCATTTATTCTTGTCATGATAAGAAGCCAACTTTCTCTCTGATTGCTTGGAGGGGGCATTTAAGCTTGAAAAGGAGCTTACATCTGCTACATCATGGGGCTCACAGTGGCTGGTGAACTTTAATTCAGATAAAACTCAATTTTTTTCAGTCAATCGTTATTGCAATAATTTAGACCATCCTATATTTATGAACAGTAATGTACTCGATGAGTCATCTACTCTTCATCTTCTAGAATTAACTCTTCTGATCTTTCTTGGAAACCATATATCAAATCCGTTGCAAAATTAGCATTTGCTAAAGTTGCATCTCTTTATCGAGCTTGACACTTACTCTGGATTCTATTCTCTATCTCTATAAATCTCAAATCCTGCCCTGTATAGAATACTGTTGCCATATATTAGGCGGATCTTCTAATGATGCCCTTTCTCTTTTAGACAAGGTGCAAAAACACATTGAAAACATAGTTGGACCTGCTCTTGCAGACAACCTTCAACCATTATCACATCATCGTAATGTTGCTTCTCTTTCTCTTTTCTACAAATACTATAAAGGGCACTGCTCTAAAGAGCTAATGTCTCTTGTGCCATCTAGTAAAATTCACTCACGTGTTACTTGTCATTTAATTAAGTCTTATCGTTTTTCTGTTACTGTTCTTAAGTGCTACAAAAACTCCTATTCGTCTAGTTCAGTGGTTCCCAACCGGTGGTCCATGGACCCCTGAGGGTCCATAAGAACTTTTTAGGCGGACCACAAGATAAACGTAAATTCTAAATATTTTTTGGTAGTGAAACTTAATTTTGATTATTTTTTTCTGTTGAAAGAAACAAATTAAATTTTAAATTAAAAATGTAATTTATGCGAGAAAGCTGTTACACAAAATTTGCGTTAACTAATTCGACGAGGACTTGCGGACCTCTACGAAGTAATAAATGCTATATAATATCATTTTTTATCCGTAAATTTAAAATGTTAAAATCTTATCTCATGGTAAAGATAACCTTACTGATTTGTTTGAAAGAACGTAATTTGTGTTATTTTCTATAAAAATTCGATACTATACTACTCTTATCTATAGATGCTTTTTATATTATTTTTTAAATACTTTAGATGTCTAAAAGTAAAAAAAGGTCATACTTAGATGAATACA